GAGTAAGCTGAGGATATCTTGGGAACATAGGAGATGGACAGGTTATCCAAAGGACACATTTAATCTGAGACTTGAGAGAGCAACAGGAGAAAAAATTAAGCCAAAGTCGAAATTGGAGAGGTAAAGGAGGAGATAAGCATTCTAGAGACAGTAGCTATCTATGTAAAGGATGGAGACAATCTGAAAAACTTGTGCATTGATAGGATAGTGGCATGAAAATATGAGTAGTTGGGTGTAATAAGAGTATAGTTAAGCGGACAGTTAAGAGCTATTAAGAGATGAAGCTGAATCTGGATGGAAAGAGGTGGTTAATGTAACAGAAGTTAAAAATGTAAAATTAAGACTGTAAAATTAGTTCAGGTGCAGTGGCTCATGCCTGTAATCCCAGTACTTTGGGAGGCCAAGGCAGGCAGATCACTTGAGGTCAGGAGTTCTAGACCACCCTGGCCAACGTGGTAAAACCCCATCTCTACTAAAAATACAAAAAGCCAGTTGTGGTGGCAGACACCTGTAATCTCAGCTACTAGGGAGGCTGAGGCAAGAGAATTGCTTGAACCCAGGAGGAGGAGATCACAGTGAGCCAAGGTCACGTCACTGCACTCCAGCCTGGGCAACAAGAGCAAAACTCCATCTCAAAAAAAAAAAAAAAAAGACTGCAAAATTAGAGCTATAGTAAAGACAAAGATGGCATCCATGTCTATCTCTAGTTGCTGAAATTACCATACTAGCTTACTTTTGAGATTCAAAGCAAACATGATCTACTTCTCATTATATTTACTTTCATAAGCATAAAGTATTTTGGTTACCTTACCAAAACCAGATCCTAACCTTTTCCTGTTCAAAACCCTTTTCCTGTATAGATTAACTATCTCTTATTCAAAATGCTTAGGGCTGGATGCAGTAGCTCATGCCTGGAATCCCGGCACTTTGGGCGATCAGGGCAGGAGGATTAATTGAGCCTAGAATATTAAGACCAGTCTGGGCAACATAGCAAGATTCTTGTCTCTAAAAAAAAATTTTTTTAAATTTCTCAGGCATGGTGGCACATGCCTGTGGTCCCAGCTTCTCAAGGGACTGAGATGGGAGGATCACTCGAGCCCTGCCAAGGCTTCAGTAAGCCATGATGACACCACTACATTTCAGCCTGGGTGACAGAACAAGACCCTGTCTCAAAAAAAGAAAAAAAGCTTGGGACCAGAAGTGTTTCAGTTTGAATTCTGTTGGATTTTGAAATATTTATATTATACTTATCACTTGAGCATTCCAAAGCTAAAAATCCAAAATCTGAAATGCCCTAATGAGCATTTCCTTTGAGCATCATGTCAGCACTCAAAAAGTCTCAGATTTTGGAGCATTTTGGATTTCAGATTTTCAAATTAGAGGTACTCAACTTGTACTTACAATAAAACTTTAAACGTCCATAAAACAGTCTCTAAGGATTTGGCTCTCACCTGCCCATCATCATCTTCTCACATCACTTTCCTTCTCACTCAGAACCCTTAAAATTAACATATCTTTCTTCAATTCTATAAAATGTTAAAGATATTGGCCCCCTCAGGGTATCATATATGACGTACTTTCTGCCTAAAATTTTAGTTTTCTTCCCCCACTCTTAATCTAATTGTCTTTCAAGTCAACTTAAGTATCATGTTAGCAAACATAACTCACATGAGTCTCTCCTCCCCCAATTTAAGTTAGGTCCCACGGTAATTTTCCACACTCTATTTATGATTATGTATTTAAGGTTACATGTTTGTCTATCTCCTCCTCTAGAGCAAGTTAGGGCACTGACTTCGTCTTTTTGTTTCCTCAGTATATATCTAGTACCTAGCACAGTGAACAGTGGTGTACAGTAAGTACCCAAATGTGATCAAAGACTGAATGAATCAATCAATGAACAGGAAGAAGAGTAGGTTCGAGGAGAGAAAGGTTTCAGGTTTGGATTTTTAAATCCGAAGTGTCTATACAATATCCAAGAGGAAATGTTAAGCAGATACACATAATTATCTGGATTTCAGGAGAAAGATATGGGACAGGGTAATTGATATGCGAGTAAACAAATATACGGTAACTGAAGTTATTCACAGCAATGAGAACATAAAGAAAGAATAAATTGTACAACAGAAAAAAAGAAAAGCTAAGACTAAGAAAGAACAATCAAATTCATAGCAGGAAAATAAGAAGCAGTTAAACTACAATGTGTGACACTATGGCAAAGGTGATTTCAAACAGTTAAAAGTGCTGAATATGCTGGGCACAGTGCTCATGCCTGTGATCCAAAGCTTTGGGAAGCCAAGGTGGGAAAGTCACTTGAGCCCAGGAGTTTGAAGCTGCAGTGAGCTATGAATGCACCACTGCACTCCAATCTGGGCAACAGAGTGAGACATTGTCTTAAAAAAAAAAAAGTTACACATGCTACAAAAAGATAAAGCTCAATAAGTAAAAGGAAAAATAGCAGGGTCCAATGGAAAAGAAAGAAGTAAAATCTGTCAAGTCAAGGTGTGGTAACAGTGAAATACGGAAGCTCATCTGATTGAAGGCTGACATCACGTATGACTAATTCTCCCAACTGTTGAACCTAAGTATCATATTGTATGTCTATGTTTGTGCATATGTGCATGAACTATATAAACAAGTTCCATTTAAAACAGCACTTGATTTATAAGTGTTCTAAGCACATTTAAGGTAGGCTAGGCTAAACTATGATATTCAGGTTAGGTGGATTAAATGTATTTTCAGTTTACAGTACTGTCAACTTACAATGGGTTTATCAGGAGGTAACCCCAATGTTAAGTCCAAGAGCGTCTGTATATTGAATAAGGTGTTTTTAGAAAGAAATATACATAAAACAAGTTCTATACTAAGAGGCTGACAAAAATGTTATGACCAGAGGCTCACAGGAACTTAACCCTGAATCCCTAGGAGTTCAGCATTCACTAATTTGGTGTTCACAGTGCCTTTAGAGAACAAAACTACCCCAAACTAGAATAAACTGTACCCTTTATACGTGCAAAATTAACACGACAGGGCAACAGAGTTCATTCATCAGGATAAGTTACCACTTCCCAACATACAGTATTATTGCATGAGAGTACTCAATAAATAACTAAGTGTCAAACAGTTCAGAATACTAAGTGCTAAAGTTCTATGGAAAAGAGTCCTATAATTCAATATTCTTCCCCAGCTAGGAGAATAAACCTGTCTTTTGCCATAATTTGGAGCACATGAAGGCAGACATCAGAAGCCGAAATACAAAGGTACCAGAGTTAGAGAAGGAAAATGAGTTCAAAATTGGCAGCAAAGGCAAGGTCTCACTGAATGCAAGAAATCAGAAGATTGAGCCTGTGTCCCAATGGGAGTTCACATAAGGGGCCTAGGAACAGGTTTACAACCAGTGAACAGGGAAGGTAGGTCTTAAGAAATTGCTAAAACTTTAATTAGCCACTGTGCTCACACATTTAAATTTCAACGGTATCATCAACCTTTTCCACGCTTTCTCACTCTAAAAAATTATTTTATCCAATTGCGAAGGTTAATTTTGTGTCAACTTGGCTAGGCCACAATTCCCAGGTATTTGGTCAAATACTATTTTAGGTGTTTCTGTGAAGATTGTAAGAGATTAACATTTAAATCGGTAGACCTTGAGTACAGAAGATAGTCCTCCAAAGTGTAGGTGGACCTCATCGAATCAGTTGGAGGCTTTAAAGACTGGCCTTACCAAAAAGGGAATTTTGACAGAATACTGTCCTCAGACTGGAACTCCAACTCCTCCCTGTGTCTCCCTCCTGCCAGCCTATCCTGCAGATTTTGACCTGCCAGCTTCCACAACCCCAAGCCAATTCCTTAAAATAAACCAATCTCTCTCTCTCCATATATAAATGTGTATATATACACATCCTATTTTTTCTGTTTCTATGGAGAACGAACATTGACTAATACATCAATATAAATTTTGAGATAGAAATATAAAATTACTAAAGTAACAAAACATTAGTCCTCTAAGACCTGAAGGCCAAACAAGGAAGGAGTCTATTTTGGGTATACTGACCTCACAAGATACCTGGGTACATCACAGGAATGCAGTATTTGCTAAATGAATGAATATTAGCAAACTTGTAAGTCCTCAAACAATAACTTCTATTTATTGACTACTCTGTTTCAGGTATTATGTTGGGAGGTGCTTTATCTTTCTTTGTTCAATGTTTTATTTCCACCACATCCCTTCAAAACAGCAATTTTAAGTCTCCACTACAAAGATAAGGAAATCAAGGCTCAGAGTAGAACTATGTTGTCCATGGTAACAGAATAAACGACAGCTAAGACAGAAAGTTAAAAAATGTGTATGATTCTTCCAACGTCACAGACAACGAAGATAATAAAATCATTAAAATAGGAGATGTACTCTTCAAATTGTGAAGTGTAGTCATTTAAAGAGGCAACAATAAAATAAGAAAAGACTGTACTCCTCACAGCAAATGGTGAAGTGTGGCATGGCAGTACTAACAGAACATAAAAACCATTTAGCTAAACTCTTATTACCTCACAGCTGCACACCTAATCTTTTAAGGGTGATATCACCAGATACATTCACTCCCTTATAGTAATACTTAATGTCACTCCCTGAGTCATTAAGTCTGACCTTTCACAGCAGTTCTCAGTAAATTTTCTTTTCTTTTTTTGAGATGGAGTTTCGCTCTTATTGCCCAGGCTGGAGTGCAATATGATTTTGGCTCACCACAACTTCCACTTACCGGGTTCAACTGATTCTCCTGCCTCAGCCTCCCGAGTAGCTGGGATCACAGGCGTGGATTATTTTGTATTTTTAGTAGAGACAGGATTTCTCCATATTGGTCAGACTGGTCTTGAACTCCCGTCCTCAGGTGATCCGCCAGCTCAGCCTCCCAAAGTACTGGTATTACAGGCGTGAGCCACCGCGCCCAGTGGTTCTTGGTAAATTTTCATCAGCTTCCACGATGTTTAGAATATAATCTGCACACATATTACCAAGAACGAGTGTTTCGTTTTATTTAACATTTAAGCAGAACATTTTTGACTATACATCTATATAATGCACAGTACTAAAAAAGTGCAAAATATTCAACATAAACACGAGGAAAGTGAGTACCACAATGGTTGCATCAACCCAACTAGGTAATTTTGCTCAGTTAAAGACAGCTTTTTCTGAAAGTTTTTTGGACGTTTACAGCTGCTCAACATCTTCTTACATCTAGTTCTTTCTGAAATTCTTGATATTGCCTAGCACATATAGAGCTGGTGTTATGAAGGTCGTAAAAAGCAACACAAGTCCAACAGCCATTTCCTGGAAGAGAAGATGACATGTGCTGTTGAGAATGGCTTCCTGGATCAGTCAGTTGCTGCCTAATAAAAACTGCTTAAGAAACATTTTGAGCTTCTAGACCGTTGTCTTAGAAACAGGGGCCTGGTGAAACCTAAAATGCAGACATTCAATTCATGGATCACCTGATTTTTTTTTTTTTAATCATTTTTCTAACGGTTCTCCAGTTCCAATCTTCGCACTCTGGAACTTCGATTCGGCCCAGGATTTCCACCATTTTATCGAAAATGCTAGATCTTGGCAGTGCTGAGGATGTCCGAGGATGGTAAACCATTTCTCTGAGAAACCACAGCTCCTCCCTCCGGGCCAGGTGCCGGCAAAGGGTAACAGCGTAGGAGACCCAACCCGCGCGCTCCTCAGGGTCCCGGGCTTTCCACTCCTGCGCCCAACGACGGCGTCCTCAACGCGACCCTTTCCCAGGAACCTCCTCCGACCGCTGCCAAGCCAAAGGCGCCTTCCTCAAGAATCCCGCACACCGTGTGCCCCCTTTCTCCACCGGTCGAGGCGGCCCGCCTGGGCCACGCCCTTCCCGCCCTTCCCCGCCTTTCCCCGCCCCGCGCCGCCATGATGGGTGGGCCTCAACTCACCACAGCAGACAGTGGCCGTTGGCGCGGGGGCTCCGAGTGGGCAAAGCGGGGAGCAGGCTGCGGAGCAAGCAGGGCCACGCGGCGGTAGTGGCGGCAGACAGGACAGAGCCTGGGCAGGAGAGGCATAGCGCGTCAGATGAGACAAAGCCAGGCGTGACTTGCAGGACAACACAATTGACGTGAAGCCAAGTGGTATGAGCTACAGGGCTGGTGAGGCAGCTGGTTTGCGCAGTCGCCCCAGCCACCAGGAGGCGCTCTGCCCCTCGCCCCTGCCCCGCCCCTTCTGCCCAGCACCTCCTGTTCTGCCCCGCCCCTTCTGCTCAGCACCCCTTGCTCTGCACTGCTCTTTCTGCTTAGCACCCCTGCTCTGCCCCACCCCTTCTGGCCAGCACCCCCTGTTCTGCCCTACCCTTTCTGCCGAGCACCCCCTGTTCTGCCCCATCCTTACTGCCCAGCACCCCTTGTTCTGCCCCACCCCTTCTGCCCAGCACCCCTTCTGCCCCACCCTTTCTGCCCAGCACCCCCTGTTCTGCCCCACCCTTTCCATCCAGCATCCCCTGTTCTTCCCCACCCGTCTGCCGAGGACCCCCTGTTCTGCCCCACCCATCTGCCC